GGTAGATTCCCCTTTCCATTCCTGCTACTGAATGTTTGGACATCTGTATATAGTTACACCATCACTGTGTCATGGCATAAATACCTCTGAGTGGCATATAATTACCTCTATGATTCATGGTAGTTACAAAATCTATGAGGAATATTTTAAAAAGTTACACAAAACATGCTTGTTGGATTATGTCATCTATACAGTGTAATGTTTCTATACCAATTAAATGTTTACAAGTGTAGAAATTCATTAACATTGCTTCCATGATTTCCTTCGTTTTATATTCCTGTATGCACATTATACATCTAATCAAATTTATAGGGCACTTCATCTCAAATACTTTAATTTAGCATTAAATTCAATCATCCAAGTAGCTGAATATTTTATGGTATTAGACAACAGCCTAAAAGAGTGATATTATTTATTTACTCACAGCCCTCCTCACATAGTTCATGTGACATCAGGGGGTCTGACATACACATAGTAACTCCATTTACAATACACGCTAAATTATTGATAAATGATTTATCTTAATAGATGTCATTCAATATTTAACAATAAAATCCAGCTTCTAATCCCTGTTCATGCAACTCAGATTAGTTTCTTCAAATCTTACTAACAGGCAGAACAGTGGTTATGTTTCAGTAATTAGTAAATTAAAACCATTAAAATCTGACTCAAAATAAATACTTACACTGTGAAAATAAAGCAGGTAGTATTTAATTTTGATATGCACAGCAAAGCGCAGTCAGTGTAAAATCGAATCCACTGACACTAGGTTTCAAATAAGATGAGCAAATAACAATTTGGAAAAAACTCAAAAGTGAATCATTTGTGGGTCTACTACATTTTTAAGCTGACACAAGCTATATATGCAAACAAACTGAAAGTGATTTTATTTTCCAGTACAAATTTATGCCTTTAAATATGGTGATAATATATTAAGAATATATATAAAATACAAAGAAATGTATTATAATAATTAGCATCCAACTATTAGTTATCAAAATAGTTGATCAACAAAGTGTCTGCTGTGAAAAGCAGATGCTAGTATTCCATGTGGCCATCACTGGAAGAACAAGTTGTACATCTGCAACACATACAGATGCAGGCATTCAAAATGCACGGTACAAACCCGTACCGCATGCAACTGCCCACAAGCCACTGCGTTATACCGCGGTACGTGATAGGCTGGGCAAAATGACCAACAGGGGCACTCGTGGTGCATTGGTCGTTAGTGAAAATATTTAATAATTTAATCTTTTTACTGTGCACATTTTAATCTGCTTAGTACTGAATATTTACATGGAATTTTAAACTGAAGGGAAATTTTAGTAGCTGAGCACAAAAAGAAGAGGAGCATAATGCGTCTGATGGTCATAAACGATATTAATTTAGGAACATAAACATATTATGTAAACCGTAAATGGCTGGTATAGGTATTTTAAAGAAAAAATATACACCAGCATTCCACTTTCTTCCTAAACATTTTAAGATTTAACGTCTTACATGTGGTTATTTCAGAAACGTTTTTACGTGCTCCTTCCGACCATTTTAAGTTTATATACAGTATTTTGTGAAAAGTCAAAATGTTTTAACCTTTTCATTATTGGAGTAAACAAAAGCATACTTCTAGAATCTGATTAATAGGGAAAAAAATATGGAATCGCGTATCTAAAGAATTTAATAATATAATTATATTCATGTACACTTTCTATGGATATGTGTGCTTGTGTTTCACTGCTTCCCATGTGACTACATCTATGGTGTGAAGGCCTTATAATGAGGTCCGCGGGTCAAATACTTCTGTTGCCATGAGTTTTCTTTTAACAAATAAATATATCTTTGAAAAACTAAAATAGCAAATATCATAGATACTATATTGACATTTTTTAGATTTCAAAATATCACAACATGCTCAAAGCTAAGTCATTTATTAATAACAACAAATAATTTCAAACTGCTACAAATATTATCGACACTATATTGTCATTACAAATATGTATGTAATTTGGGCCATATGGCGTACGTGTTGCTGAAGCTGAAAGCTTAGCCTTTGTTAAAACGATCACTTTTCACAAAGTACGTAAAAGTACAATAATATGGTCAGAAGGAGCACGTAACAACGTTTCTGAAATAACCACATGTAAGACTTTGATGCTTAAAATGTTTAGGGAGAAATGGAATACTGGTGTGTATTT